GCATTTAGTTTGCAGATTGAAGAAATCTTTGTACGGGTTGAAACAGTCTCTGAGACAGTGGTATAAACGGTTTGACTCCTATATGATCAAGATTGGCTACAACCGATGTGAGTATGATTGTTGTGTCTATGTTAAGAGCCTTGATGATAGTTCTTTTATTTTTCTATTACTGTATGTTGATGATATGTTGATTGCTGCGAAGAACATAGATGATGTTATCGGTTTGAAAACTTTATTGAGTCAGGAATTTGATATGAAAGATTTAGGTGCTGCAAAGAAAATTCTTGGAATGGAAATTTGCAGGGACAGAGACTCAAGGAAACTACGGCTATCTCAATGGGGTTATGTTGAGAAAATGCTAGAAAGGTTTGCGATGAGCAGCGCGAAACCAGTTAGCACTCCATTGGCGAATCACTTTAAGCTCTCATCAGAACAGTGCCCTAAGACAGATAAGGAAGCTGAAGATATGGCAAAGGTTCCATATTCTAATGCTGTTGGCTGCTTGATGTATGCGATGGTATGTACTCGTCCTGATTTAGCTCATGCTGTTAGTCAAGTTTGTAAGTACATGTCTAAACCTGGTAAGCAACATTGGGAAGCAGTCAAGTGGATCTTTCGGTACTTAAAGGGTACTGTGGGACATGGAATTGTTTTTGGGAGTCAGCGGGATAATCCTTTGGTTGTAGGATATGTGGATTCAGACTATGCAGGTGACTTGGATAATAGAAGATCTACAAAAAAGGGTATGTCTTTACTCTTGGTGGAGGGCCTATTTGTTGGAAGTCTACTGTTCAATCTGTTGTGGCTCTATCTACAACTGAAGCTGAGTACATGGCAGCGGCTAAAGCTGCAAAAGAAGCTTTATGGCTTACTGGTTTAGTGAAGGAGTTGGGTGTTCAACAAGGTGGAGTTCAGTTGCTTTGTGATAATCAAAGTGCTATTCACTTGGCTAAGAATCAGGTGTATCGTGCTAGAACTAAACATATTGATGTAAGGTTCCACAAGATCAGAGAGTTGGTTGCATCTGGAGAGGTTTTGTTTCAGAAGGTACATACTGATGAGAATGCCGCTGATATGTTCACCAAGCCAGTTACGACAGACAAGTTCAAGCATTGCTTGGACTTGTTGAATGTTTTGAGTTGTTAAAGAAGCAAGGTAACCCAACCCACATTGAAGTTTCCAAGGGGCATGATATTCGCCAAGGTGGAGATTTGTTAGGTATGGCTCATAAATATACCAGTAAAGAGGACATTAAATATTATTCATGATTTTAATATTTGGTATCCATTTTCTTATCTAATTAGGTACTTGAACTTATGAAATTCCTAAGAATAAAAACAGATTTTCAATAATAAAAAATACATAGAAATTTTTTTAAAATACATGATAATTTTAAATTTTCAGGAGAGCAACCTTCCCCGGTTAAGTCTATCCATCCCTGGTTGTTCTAAACAAGGGAATGTTCCCTGGGTAGTTGAACAACGAGTTAAACCGAAGCAAGAATGAATTTAGATAAAAGGTATAAAGAAAATGCATACTATTTGAAGTCATAACAGGATAGCTAATGGGAGAATGCATATGGATCATATGCAAATTGATTAATGCTGAAATTACAACACATTCATCTACAATGTTAAAAAGGAAACGGAAAATTAATGCATCCTGTGCACATTTTTATTAACAACAGCCTCAGAGACATTTCGTCGAATAAGTGGCATTCCTTTGTAGGTTATGAACTGATTCGTATTCGACCACAATATATTGGGGTAAAGTACACAAATAGTCATCCGATTATAGGGTGATGCTTAGTTGAGTCCCTCGACTATCAAAAGTTACAAAATGATCCTCCGACTATAGGATGTTGTTTTGTTGAGTCCCTAGACTTTTAAAAGTTATAAAATGGTCACCCGACTATTTAGTATGTTTCAAACTCGTCATTTTTTAAACAATGAAAGCTTGATGTTAACCTGTTAACTGAGATATGATAAAATATAATCTATATAATCTCAAAAAATATCATATATCAGTCAACAGACTAACATCCAACTCAGATTGTTACTAAATTTTTAACGGAAAATGACAAGTTTGGAACACACTAAATAGTCATGTGATCATTTTGTAACTTTTAATAGTCGAGGGACCCAACAACGCATCACTCTATAAGTATCGCATCACTCTAAATAGTCATGTGATCATTACTCTAAGATTTTAATCTTTTTGGATTCTAATAAAAAAATTAAAATATTATCAAATAATTCTAATTGTTCAAATCTATTTTTTAAAAAATTATAATTAAATCTATACTATAAAAATAATTAACTCTACATTGCGTGAAGAGATGTGATGTCAACGTAAAAGAATTTGTTATGTTAACATGAAGAGATGTGATGTTAATATGGATTGATGAAACTCTACAAAAGTTAGATATATATTTCTCTATTCATAAGGCAATTTAAAATTATTTTTTCATAAAAAATTGTAAAGTACTCAGGGATTATGTGAGAGAAATCAAACTCTTCTTAATAGGTTCTTTTCAATAATTTTTTTTTTCAAAATCATCTCGATATATTAATGTATGTTTTTCTAGATTATTTATTCTAATTATGAGTATCACATTGTTTTAAGATCCTTGAATTAATAATGTAAATAATTATTTTCCATCAATTGAGTAATTTTAAAATATGGATAATATATTTTAAATTAATATTTAAAATACCTATTTGAAAAGAAAATCAATCAAAAATTAAAGAAAAGCAAGTCTATGCCATCAGTTTAACATATGATTGATGCTTTGTCTCATGGATTTTGAAAAAGATATTGCTTACTTTTTTGGTGTTCAATTATGTTCTACTTGTGATGGTTTGTAATAATGTCAAAATCAATGATTTTTTACTAAGTAAAGATATATTAAATTTAAAGTAAATGTTGTGATTCAAATTCAAGATGAGATAATATAAGTATCCTTATCACTCGACTAATTAATATATCTCAACGTCAACGATCTTCTTTAATTATATCTTCTGTTGTCAAACATCATCCCTAAGAACCCCACCTCAACTTACCAACCATTGATTACCTTTTAACAGCAGCATCGACATTGAATTTGACTCAACCACAAGGTGGGGGAAACCAACAAGAACACGCTCTATAAGGTTTCAAACGCCCCATTTGCAGATTCAGAGAAACAGGAGGATAGTGTTTGTGTTATAATTATTCTGTGTATATTTACCACTTCTTCAAATGTTATTTGTTTGTGTAATACTCAAATGTTTAACCGTAATAATACAGTTCTTCGATATCTAAATGCTCGTATTGGATAAATGCGTGCATGCGTGTACGCGGCTCTGTGTGTGTCTGTGAGTGTGTATAGGGTCTGTTAAGACCTATAGGTGTAAATGGAAAAGGTATCACCAGACACCATCACCATTCCTCCCAGGAAATGATCGCATGTACAAATAAGAATGAAAGTAAGGCATAGGCGTATATTATTTATACATATTGGTGCATACATGGCCATGCCAGGAATAAATCTAATATTACATAAAATGAGTGATAGAAGCTTGTATTTCCTCTAGTGTTCTCCCTTTTGTCTCCGGAACCAACTTGCAACGAATACAACAGTAAAGCCTGAGATTCCGGTGAAAACGAAAAGCGTTCCTGCAATGATATTCGCCGATACATCTTAGTTCAGAAATGTAATGTTAATTTACTATGTTAGAGAAGAAATAGAGGATGACCTGCTGAGCTCCATTCCATCATAAATTGAAATGCCTTTTTTCTTGTTTGTTCAACAATTCTACTATCTTAAAATGAATTGGATACGAAACTAACCAAAAGAAGTGGTCGTCTACCGGATCTATCCGTTAAAAATAAACCTAAAATTGCTACAAGAATCTGCAAAAACAATGTAATAGGCATGTCTCGGAAATGCTTGGAACATAATTTTACCTTTAAGTCAAAGTTGGAAAAGAAGCCCCGAAGGTACCTGTACAATAGCTAAAACTTCAGGGCCAAGGTTACCTGATATGCCTATTCCAAACAAAACTTTGTGTCTTCATCTTCTTCTTTTTTTTTCCTTTTCCGATATCTTAAACTTGTACGACAACAAAAAATAATATATGCAGCAATAATTACATAAGCACCAACATAGAAGATATAAATTTACTTGCTTCTTCAAATATGGTACGAGCATAATATCTGTCACACCCCAATTTAGGGGCTCAATTTTAGAAATTATAAAGTACTGAATTTAAGTGATATTTTGAAAGGAATTGAAGATTAAATTGTAAAATCGCAAAGTTGACAGACAATTTTAGGAAGTGTAGGAATTCGGGGACCAAACTCATAATTTACCCATTTTTCTTTAGGTGAGAATTATAAACCCCCTCCCCGTCTGTTTTCCCAGAATGTTTCTCATTTCCTCTCCTCCGATCAACTACTTTAAGCTCTGATTTCTCCACCGTTCGGCCACCGTTTGACGATCCGAAACCACTATCGTGTTCGTTATCGATCGATGAACAAAACCCCTCAATCCTCTCGTCGTGAATCGGCGTCGTTCGCCATAAATCTCAACTAGAAGTATTGTCGGTTTTAACTCGATCGTTATTGGTTTTTGGTCGATTCACGTCGATCCGGTCACCCATTTTCGACACTTCCAGCACTATCGTGTTCCTTGCATCGTTCCGAGTCCACCGGTATCCTTCTTGTCTCCATCGTCGCCGACGCGTGAAGGGGTCAAGAAGATCAAGTTTCTGACGTTTCGGAATCGAGGTCTCCGCTGTTCAAAATTTTAAACCGAGCTTGGTAATTGTCTCAAAATCCCATTAAATAATCCTTCCTGTGTGTGGGGGAATGTCCACGCGTGGTGGACAACTTTAAAACCCATTGACCTGGTTTGACCCGACCCGACCCGACTCGCTGAACGACCATTAACCGTTGACTTTGACCAAAAGGTCAAATTTTTTTAACCCAGTAAGCTTTTTTGACCTGAGTCCGATTCTGAAGTCTGTTTCGCCTAATTCGAACCCGGTAAGCTATTTTCACTGATTTATCACCCGATTCGATCCGTTTTTCGCAATTAAGCTCCGTTTTTAATGAAATTTCTGTTGATATGTATTCGAAGAATTATTAAAAGTTGTTTTCAAGATCGAGAGCGTTCGAATGGAGTTTAAATGGTCGATCAGTATGGCACAGAAATCGAGGTAATACATTACTACCTCTTTATGTTTTATGGAACATGTTGATAATGAATAAATGCATGGATGTATATGATTGGTCTATTATACCTGTTTGATTATGGATGTATTCGAACCAAATACAATTTAAGTGATAAATTATGAGAATACTTTGATTAGGTAAAATTACAAAAATACCCTTATGTTGTAAAAAGATAAGAATTGACCCTGGAATTTGGATAAGAAGTTTGTAAAGACATATTGATCTGATGAAACTACTGATATGTATAGAAAATACTAGTTTTACTTAGGAAATATGGATAATCGATTTCTAAACCCAAGATGGCTTGTACAAGATACTAGAAGTTTGATAAGAAATAATTTAAAGTTTAGAGATTATCTGGAAAAACGATTAACCCTAGAATCTCTAAATTATAATTATCTTTGTTAAGAGTTTTAATACCGAAATTATGGTTAAGAAATTATGAAATTACCCTTGAGAGGGAAAAGTAGCCCGAATTGACACTGAATGGAAAAGTACTCAAGAAATCATGCCTAAATCGATCAATTACTAGTTTCATAGTTAAGTTCACAAGTTTATACAAAAAATTTCTGATAATCCGTAAATCTCCGAGTTATGAGTAAATACCCGAAGAATAAATTATCGAGGGTGTTCTTTTGTCAGAATTGTTTAAAAAGACTGGAATAGATGATAAATTTGAATTAAATAATAAGATCGGACAGAAGAAAAGAATTGAAAGACCCTAGATCTATAAAATGACCAAAATACCCCTGGAATGGAAATGACCCAAGAATATCACCAAGCTCAAGAATGATTGGATATCCTTAAGCTCTGAAATGAATGAAATAAAATTTAGCACCAAAATGACCAAATTACCCTTATGTCCTAGGCTAAGTAAATGTCTTGGATTAATTAAGGAATCCAAATAAATATGGGTGTTGTACTGCCCTTAAAAGTTATGGAAACAACTTAAGTGAGTCGATCGACCCTAATGATATGTCAGTACCTAAATGGCATAAATATCACTTGAATGCGTGTTCATCTTCTTAAGTTTGAATCGATAATAATTCTGGAAGTACTCATCTCAGCTCAACTCTATATCATATTCGGTACTAAAAAGTGGATATTTGTTAGACAAATCAACCACGGAAACTAAATTGAACTGGACAAAAGTACAATATGTATCAAAATTCAGAAACGTCTGAATTACTCTGGAAAACTCTGAAGTAACCGGGATAAACTTGATTGTTAAATGAACTAAGTAACCTCAATAATTGAGGAGTAAATAAGTGATTGAATGAGTATGGGAATGCTAATAAACTTACATGATGTACTGTTCTTATGGGTCATGAACTACAAATCAAGCAAGTCAGCATTTCATGATATCGTGGAAGTTTGGAAATGAAATAAAGACCATTGGAAGATTTATTCAGGGATGATTCCGAAGATGATCTATGGGCAAGAAATTTTGGTATTAAAGAGTAAATACCCTGGAAGGACAATGAATTGACCAATCGACAAGCATTAGTTCTGGGAGCTGTTCATCTCAAGTTATTCGATAATCCGATCAATCGACATATATTGTAAAAGTCTTGAATCGTCGTTTCTCCCTTATCAGCTCAAATCATTCTGGTCATATCTGAAAACACAAGTAACTCAGATGTAAAGGATTCTAAATAACTGATGATTCCGTCAGTTAATGAACTCTTCCTATATTGATTTTAACTTCCATCATTCTATCGGTATACTAAAGATCTGTATTTCTCTATCCAATAAGATTATCGAATATCTCTGAATAATATCTGGAAACTCTAGTGTGTTCCCTAATCACATGAATATTTTATCTGATTTTCGATTTAAATTCTGTTATGATACCTGACATGGTTTCTGTTCTGATATCTGATCTGGATTATGTTCTGATATCTGACCTGAATTATTTTTTGATTTTTGATATATCCGTTTACGGACTGAAAATATTTTATTTGGGGGTATTGTTGGAGGAAGAATACTTGTAGGCTCCTCGGCTTTGTGCTCGGGCCTTACTTGATGTGATGGTGGGTGTATGGTTCTGGGGAATCTACACATTATGATGTGTTTGGTTGGAAGGATTATTATGGTTTTTGATAAATGTTTTATTTGGGGTATTATTGGAGGAAGTATACTTGCAGGTTCCTCGACTTTATGCTCAGAGCCTTACTCAATGTGACGGTGGGTGTATGGTTATGGGGAACATACACATTATGATGTGTTGGGCTGGAAGGTTTACTATGGTTTTCTGAATTTTAAAAATATGTTTTAAAAGATCTGTATCTTTTCATTGGTTTTCCAGGAACACACTAGATAACCTATCCTGATCCCTTGAACCTAATTATCCTAAATATTTTCCTCTGAACTGAAAACTTACTGTCTGTTACTACCTGAGACATCAGTGGAACCTCAGCTTAGCCTAAAAATCTGTACATGTCTCAACCAATAAGGAAATAAATGTTTATCTATATCTGCATGTTCTTCAGCATCATTTGGTAATTCTGTATTACTGAGCTTTCCAATGCTCACTCTATTACTCACCTTTTCAGGTTAAAAGAACCGTACCAGTGCATCTATCGACATCAATAAAGGAGTTCTTCCGGCGTTGTTTGCAGAGTATAGTACATGTGATTAGGGGGAATGTAGGTTGTATTTTGTTTTATATACAAGTATAAAAATCTATTTTATTTTTGAATATTAGTAAAGTTTAATTTTGTATTTATAAATGATTTTATGAGTTTACATGTTTTAATAAAAGTTAAATTTTTCACTATTTTTACTGTGGGTCGCTAAGGTGGCCCTAATATGACACCTTAGATCAGAGCGGGTCACCCGTATCGGTCTGAGGGGGTTATAATATCCTATGGCACCTGCTTCTACAAGTTGTTACAATAACATTAGGCCAACTCCAACCTGCAAATTCCAAGAAGCCATTTATAAAACGATCAGGCAAGTCATAAAACGAATTAGCATATTTATTCTCATATCACAATAAGTGAATTAACATATCTCTTCCGGAATAATTCAAGGATACTTGCTCCTGTTTGTTGCTCAAGAGTTTCCATATAACCCTACAAGATAATATAAGCACATATCATGAGGAAATAAGTGTTCCAAATTTCCTTGGGAAAACTAAAAGATAAAAAGCTAAAATCTACTCTTATAATTGTAACACCCCAATTTAGGGGATAAATTTTAGGAATTATAAAGTGGTGGATTTAATTGGTATTTTGAAATAAACAGTTGATTAAATTGTAAAATTTCAAAGTTGGTAGATTATTTTAAGAAGTGCAGAACATTCAGTGACTAAACCCATGATTTACCCATTTTTATTTTGGAGAGAATTATAAATCTCTCCCCCGTATGTTCAGCAGAATGTTTTCCCAGTTTTCCTTCTCCAATAACCCTCTTTTCAACTCTGATATACTCACCGTCCAACCTCCGATCGACAAACCAAAACCACCATCGTGTTCGTTGTCGACAAAGGAACAAAACCCCTCAAACCTTTCATCGTGAATCGTCGCCATTCGTCGTGAATTTCAGTCGGAAGTATCATCGGTAATAACTCGATTTCAGTTGGTTTTTGGTCGATTCACGACGATCCGGTCACCTGTTTACGACACCTCCCGCACAATCGTGTTCCTTGCATCGTTCCGAGTCCACCAGTGTCCTCTGTTTCTTCTTCGTCGCTGGCGCGTGCAGGGGTGAGACTTTTCAAAGTTTTTGACGTTTCGAAATCGAGCTCTCCGTCGTTCAAAATTATGAACCGAGCTTTGTAAGTGCCTTAAAATCGCTTAAAATAATTTTTAGGAATTTTTCCAGGAATTTTTCGACACCGGGTTACTGTTCACGCACCGCACGCGCCACCCCTGAGAGTGGGCATCGTCTGGGTGTTAATTTTGTAATTAATTTCTGTTTGGGTGCTATTTGTGTAAAAGTCAGGTGTTAGTTTGGTAAATATTTGTAGAATATGGCTAATGTCGTAATTAATTTCTGTTAGGGTGATATTTTTGTAAAATGGTCGACTGTTGACCGTTGACCACAGTTGACTAAAACTTTGACCAGGCATTAAAACGACCTTTGACTTCGACCGAGTATACCTATCCTGACGTTTTTCGACGTTCCAAATCTGATTTCGCAGTTCGTTTTTTGAAATTCGGACTTGAAGGCCTTGAAATTGCCAGTCAAACCCGTTGACTTTGATTTTGACCAAAAATTCCAAATTTTTGAAAAGTCATATTTTATGCTTTCGACATCTTGAATCCGAATCCGAAGTCCGTTACGCCAAATTCAAACTCGGTAAGCTGTTTTTCACTGATTTATCATCCGATTCGATCCGTTTTTCAAAATCAAGCTCCGTTTTTTATGTAATTTCTATTGATATAGATCCAAAGAAATATTGGAAGATGATTTCAAGTTCGAGACGTTCGATTGGAATTTATATAGTCGTTTAGTATTGTACGGAGATCGAGGTAATACTTTACTATCTCTTTATGCTTATTGGAATATGTTGATATTGGTAATTGCATGAATAAGATAATGTTGGTCACTTTTGTGGAGTTGATTAATTTCTACACTCGATCTGAATACGGTAAAAAGGTTTAGTAAATGATTATGGTTCAGATGACTTTTATAAGAAACTAGGGAATTGTTAGAATTAAAATTACAAGTTATGTGTTTAGTGATAAAGGAATAAGTTTAGATCTGTATCATATAATCTATTTCATCAAAGGTATTTGGATGGGAAATTATAAGAATATTCTGATATGGTAAAATTACGAAAATACCCCTATATTGTAGGATGGCAAGAATTGTCTCTGGAAGTTGGTTAATAACTCTGAAAAGGCATATTGATCTGATAAATTTACTGATGTGCATAAGAAATGTTAGTTTTGCTTAGAAAATGCGGATAACCGATTTTTAAACCCAATAAGGTTTATGCAAAATACTAGAAGTCTGTTAAGGAATCATTTCGAGATCAAAGAATGTTCGGGAAAACAATTAACGATTGGATCTCTAAAGTATAATTATTTACGTTAAGAGTTAATACCAAAATTATCTCGTTAAGAAATTACGAAAATCCCCATGAGAGGTAAAAATAGTGCAAGTTGACTCTGAATGAGAAAGTAACATGAGAATTTGTTCTTAAACCGATAAATTACCATTTTTCATATGGTTGAGATCCTACTTTTGTATGGAAAATTCCTAATAATTCGTTAGTAATGTCTGAAAAGACTTTTAACCTGGAAATCTCCGAGTTATGAGTAAATAACTGAAGAATAAGTTATCGAGGGTGCTATTTTGTCAGAATTGTTTGAAAGGACTGGAAAAGATGATACATTTGAATTAAATGATAAGATCAGATGGAAAGAAATGATTGAAATACACTGGATCTGTAAAATAACCAAAGTACCCTTGTAATGGAATGACTCTAATAAATACTGGGATTTCTCTAGTGTGTTTCTTTTTTTTTTAATAAATTATTTTGTTGTTTTAACATGAGGTACACTGAAATCTATGGTTATTGTTTTATGAATGCACCGACTTAATGGTGATGGCTTATGGATTTATATCACAATATAAATTGTATCTTGGAGATACAGATTTGTAAAGTACAACTCTGATCAAGTTGAAAATTTTTTATGGACCTAATGTGACTCTTAGGTAGGCTCTGCTGCCCTGAGATCATTATCGGGTAGGGGCCGTAGCCCTAAGATGTGTTCTTAGGTAGGCCCCATGGCCCCAAAATTTCTTGGGTATGCTCTCAGGCCCTAAGATGTTCCCTTAAGATAACTCTTTGTAAGATGGTTTTAAAATACGAGTTTAAAAAGCTCCACTACAATATGGTTTATGGGATTTTACTGATCTATCATTTGATTAGTGTACCTATTATGATTTTATCGTACTGATGGAACACACTAGATATCTTATTTGACCTCATGAAAACGTGACTGTAAGAAAGGTTTCTTATGAACTGTGATTTCATGGCTTCAACTTGATGAACTACTGATGGAACCCCAGATTATTTCGAAACGGGTATACGTCTGATTCAATAAGGAAATTATATGGCTTTCCATTTATCTGCATGACATTTAGCATCATCTGGTAGTTCTGTATTACTGAGCTTTCTGAATCTCACTCTATTACTCACCATTGCAGGTTAAAAGAATTGTACCAGTATCACTATCAACATCAGTAAGGGAGCTCTTCCGGCGTTGTTTGCAGAGTATGGTACATGTGATTAGGGGGCATGTAGATTGTATTTTGTTTTTATATCAGAGTCTGATAAACTTGTTTTATTTCTGACAAATAATAAATCATTTTATGATTTTACATGTTTTAAGAAAAGTTTTAAATTTTTCGCTATTTGTAAGGTGGGTCGCTTCGGTGGCCCTAATGTGATACTCCAGGTCAGATCGGGCTATCCGCATCGGTCTTAGGGGGTTACATTTAGTGGTATCAGAGCTATGGTTTGAGTTAAAATTTTCAAGTTATACCGGTCGGTCGAATTTCAAAATGATGTCTAATCAGTACATGCCCCTAGACTACAATCGTACCTCTCTGAACCGGAACTCCAGGGTTGAGTCCCTATCTGTAACGAGTAAACCGAAGTTTCTATCCGTTAAGGCTATACTTGTACAAAATGGAATATCAGTAACATCTGTATAAACACTGTGAAGTACCTCACGAGCCATGTGGGAGTTATTTATCTGAAAAATTCTGACTTGACTTCGGAAATGTAATTGGGCTATGCTACTGCTCTATGAGTCTATTCTCATGACAAAGACTGAATTGATTACTCGAGGAAATTTTTGTTCGGATTCTTTTATTGAAATGAGGAAAAGTTATGATAAGAATGTATGCTCAGCTGGTTAAGGATTAGTGGAGGATCCGTACTTTTGTAAAAGCTACTTAAAGATATGAGAGAACTGATGGAAGTTTCATTTATGCAATTATGTGCATGAATGAATTTCAAGGACGAAATTCTATTAAGGAGGGGAGAATTGTAACACCCCAATTTAGGGGCTAAATTTTAGGAATTATAAAGTGGTGAATTTAATTGGTATTTTGAAAGAAACAGTAGATTAAATTGTAAAATTTCAAAGTTAGTAGATCATTTTAAGAAGTGCAGAAAATTCAGTGACTAAACTCATGATTTACCCATTTTTATTTTGGAGAGAATTATAAATCTCTCCCCCGTATGTTCTTCAGCAGAATGTTTTCCCAGTTTTCCTTCTCCAACAACCCTCCTTTCAACTCCAATCTACTCGCCGTCTGACCTCCGATCGACGAATCGAAACCACCATCATGTTCTTTGTCGACCGAGGAACAAAGCCCCTCAAACATTTCGTCGTGAATCGTCGCCTTTCTTCGTGAATTTTAGTCGGAAGGATCATCGGTAATAACTCAATTTCAGTTGGTTTTTCGTCAATTCACGACGATCCGGTCATCCATTTACGACACCTCCCGCACCATCGTGTTCCTTGCATCGTTCCAAGTCCACCGGTGTCCTCTGTTTCTCTATCATCGTCGGTGCGAGGGGGGGTGAGACCGTCAAAGTTTCTGACGTTTCGAAATCGAGCTCTCCGCCGTTCAAAATTTTGAACCGAGTTTTTTAAGTGCCTTAAAATCGCTTAAAATAATTTTTAGGAATTTTCGACACCGGGTTACTGTTCACGCACCACCTTGAGAGTGGGCATCGTCTGGTTGTTAATTTTGTAATTAATTTCTGTTTGGGTGCTATTTGTGTAAAATTTGGGTGTTAGTTTGGTAAATTTTTTCAGATTGTGGCTAATTTAGTAATTAATTTATGTTAGGGTGATATTGGTGTAAAATAATCGACTGTTGACCGTTGACCACAGATGACCAGAACTTTGATCGGCTTTGACCGGGCATTAAACGACCTTTGACTTCGACTGAGTATACCTATCCTGACGATTTTCGACGTTCCAAATCTCCGTAGTTCGTTTTTTGAAATTCAGACTCGAAGGCCTTGAAATTGCCATTCAAACCCGTTGACTTTGATTTTGACTGAAAATTCCAAAATTTTGAAAAGTCATATTTTATGCTTTCGACGTCTTGAATCCGAATCCGAAGTCCGTTATGACAAATTCAAACTCGGTAAGCTATTTTTCACTGATTTATCATCCGATTTGATCCGTTTTTAAGAATTAATCTCCGTTTTTATGTAATTTATATTGATATAGATCCGAGGAAATATTGGAAGATGATTTCAAGATCGAGATGTTTGAATGAAATTGATATGGTCGATCAGTATTGCACGAAAATCGAGGTAATACTTTACTACCTCTTTATGCTTATTGGAATATATTGATATTGGTAAATGCATTAATAAGATAATGTTGGTCACTTTTGTGGAGTTGATTAATTTCTACACTCAATCTGAAACCGGTAAAAAGGTTTAGTAACTGATTATGGTTCATATGACTTTTATAAGAAACTGGGTAATTGTTAGAATTAAAATTACAAGTTTTGTGTTTAGTGATAAAGGAATCAATTTAGATCTGTATCATATAATCTATTTCATGAAAGGTATTTGGATGGGAAATTATAAGAATATTCTGATAGGGTAAAATTACGAAAATGCCCTTATGTTGTAGGATGACAAGAATTGTCTCTGGAAGTTGGTTAATAACTCTTAAAAGGCATATTGATCTGATAAATTTACTGATGTTCATAAGAAATGTTAGTTTTTCTTTGGAAATGCAGATAATCGGGTTTTAAACCCAATAAGGTTTATGCAAAATACTAGAAGTCTGTTAAGGAATCATTTCGAGATCAAAGAATGTTCAGGAAAACAATTAACGATTGGATCTCTAAAGTATAATTATTTACGTTAAGAGTTAATACCGAAATTATCTGGTTAAGAAATTATGAAAATGCCCTTGAGAGGTAAAAATAGTCCAAGTTGACTCTAAATGAGAAAGTAACATGAGAATTTTTTCTTAAACCGATAAATTACCATTTTTCATCTGGTTGAGATCCTACTTTTGTATGGAAAATTCCTAATAATTCGTTAGTAATGTCTGAAAAGACTTTTAACCTAGAAATCTCTGAGTTATGAGTAAATACCTGAATAATAAATTATCGAGGGTGTTATTTTGTCAGAATTGTTTGAAATGACTGGAAAAGATGATACGTTTGAATTAAATGATAAGATCAGATGGAATGAAATGATTGAAATACATTGGATCTGTAAAATAACCAAAGTACCCTTGTAATGGAATTGCTCAAGAATATCTCCAAGTTCAAAAATGAATAGATATCCTCAAGCTTTGAAATGAATGGAAAAACATTAAGCACTAAAATGACCAAAATGCCCTTATGGTTTATACTAAGTAAACCTCTTGGATTAATTAAGAAATTCAAATAAACATGGATGTTGTACTGCTCTCTAATGTTATGAAACACAATTTAAGCCAACCAAACAATGCTAGTGCTCTATTAGTACTTGAATGGCATAAATACCACTTGAATTATAGTTCGTCTCCTCAAGTTTGGATTGATAATATTATGGAAGTAATCCGCTCAGCTAAACGCTATAGCGCATTCGATCTATTAAGTGGATATTCGTGAGATAAATCAATCACGAATACAAAATGATTTTAGTATATGACCAAAGTGAACTGACGGAAGTACAACATGTATCCGAACTCAAAGTGTATGAATTACTCTGGAAAACTCTGAAGTATCGTGATAGCATTAATTTGTTATATGAACTAGGAACCTTAATGATGGAGAATTTAGTAAGTAATTAGATGAGTCTGGAAATACAATAAACTTGTATGATGTATAATCCCTATGGTTATGAACTAAGAATGAAATATGTCATCAAATCTTGATATTGTAGTAATGTGGAAAGAAAATAAAGATTATAAGGATGCTTGTTCGAATCTTTAAGGTATATTTAGCAATGATTCTGAAGATGACTTATGGACAAGAATTGTTGGTATTATAGAGTGAATACCAGGAAGGGCAATGAATTGATCAGTCGACAGGCATCAGTTCTAAGAGTTGTTCAGCTCAAATTGTTCGATAATCCGATTGATTGTCATGGATGGTAATTGCCCTGAATATTCGTTTCTTATTTTTCGACTCAAATCACTCCGGTTATTCCTGATACACCTGAATCATAGTGGGATTCTAAAGTATCGTTTTAAATGTATGATTTGAAAGACTAGTAATTGACTCCTTTTCAATAGGACTTCATTCCTGGGATCTGATAAAAAGACATCAATTTCGTGTTATCTATGCTGATAACTGCAAAATGCCTCTGATAAGTACTGGGATTTCTCTAGTGTGTTTTAACATGAGGTACACTGAAATCTATGGTTATTGTTTTATGAATGCACCGACTTAATGGTGATGGCTTATGGATTTGTATCATGGTATAAATTTTATCTTGGAGATACAGATTTGTAAAGTACAGCTTTGATCAAGCTGGAAAATTTTTATGGACCTAATGTGACTCTTAGGTAGGCTCTGCGGCCCTGAGATCATTATCGGGTAGGCACCGCGACCCTAAGATGTGTTCTTAGGTAGGCCCTATGGCCCCGAACTTTCTTGGGTATGCTCTCAGGCCCTAAGATGTTCCCTTAGGATAACTCTTTGTAAGATGGTTTTAAAATACGAGTTTAAAAAGCTCCACTACAGTATGGTTTATGGGAATTTACTGAACTATCATTTGATTAGTGTACCTATTATTATTTTATCGTACTGATGGAACATACTAGACATCTTATTCGACCTCATGAAAACGTGACTGTAAGAAAGGTTTCTTATGAACTGTGATTTCATGGCTTCAACTTGATGAACTACTGATGGAACCCCAGATTATTTCGCAACGGGTATACGACTGATTCAATAAGGAAATTATATGACTTTCCATTTATCTGCATGTCATGTAGCATCATCTAGTAGTTCTGTATTACTGAGCTTTCGAAGCTCACTCTATTACTCACCATTGCAGGTTAAAAGAATTATACTAGTATCACTATCACATCAGTAAGGGAGCTCTTTCGGCGTTGTTTGCAGAGTATGATACATGTGATTAGGGGGCATGTAGATTGTATTTTGTTTTTATCAGAGTCTGATAAACTTGTTTTATTTCTGACAATAATAAAATAATAATTATTTGTACGGTGGGGGTCGCTCCGGT